AGTGTGTGCGTGTACACTCAAAAAGTTGTAGGAAAACAGAAAAATGATTTTATTTTGGTGTAAAAAATTTTAATACATAAACATGTATATTATGAAAAGGGGCATGTATTCCAAAAGGTTTTACACCAGAATTAATTCATGCTGTTAGTTCCATATCTCCATGAACTTTTTCAAGTACACTCATATACACATGCACACACATGATTAATTTTAAGGAACTATTTCACATGATTATAGGAGCTGATAAATCTGATATCATTAGGGTAGGTTGGCAAGTGAAGACCCTGGGGAGACCTGATGTTTTAGCCTTGAGTTCAAAGCACTCTGGAGACAGAAACTGTCTTCTTCAGGGGACATCAGACTTTTCTCTTAAAATCTATTGATTCCATTATGCTCAGCACACTGTGGAAAATAATCCACTTTACTCACAATCTAATTATTTCAATGTTAAGCACTTTACAAAATATCTTCACAATACCTACATCAAGTATTTTAGAAAAAACTTGTTACCAAGACCTAGCCACATTATTTTTTTGAGAGGCAGAGTGGACAGTGAGAGACAGAGAGAAAGGTCTTCATTTGCCGTTGGTTCACCCTCCAATGGCCACCGCGGCTGGTGCACCGTGGCCGGCGCACCACACTGATCCAAAGCCAGGAGCCAGGTGCTTCTCCTGGTCTCCCATGTGGGTGCAGGGCCCAGGGACTTGGGCCATCCTCCACTGCACTCCCGGGCCACAGCAGAGAGCTGGACTGGAAGAGGAGCAACCGGGACAGAATCCGGTGCCCCAACCAGGACTAGAACCCGGTGTGCCGGTGCCACAGGCGGAGGATTAGCCTATTGAGCCACGGTGCCAGCCACCAAGACCTAGCCACATTGACGTGTAAAATTATTACATAGGATATGGAACCCTGAAGAAGATCTCAAGTGAACAAGTCAGGATAGAAACCATATTTCTTCCTTTAATTCCTCCCATAATTTATTAAATTCTCATATTTATTTTTTCTACATCAAAGTCCATGACATCATGTCCATTTCAGCATCAAGATGTATGGGCTCAGTCAACCGTATTGTTAAAAATAGTATATCTGGGCCAGCGCCGCGGCTCACTAGGCTAATCCTCCGCCTTGCGGCACCAGCACACCGGGTTCTAGTCCCGGTCGGGGCACCGAATTCTGTCCCGGTTGCTCCTCTTCCAGTCCGGCTCTCTGCTATGGCCTGGGAGTGCAGTGGAGGATGGCCCAGGTCCTTGGGCCCTGCACCCCATGGGAGACCAGGATAAGTACCTGGCTCCTGCCATCGGATCAGTGTGGTGCACCAGCTGCAGCGCGCTGGCCGCGGCAGCCATTGGAGGGTGAACCAACGGCAAAGGAAGACCTTTCTCTCTGTCTCTCTCTCTCACTGTCCACTCTGCCTGTAAAAAAAAAATAGTATATCTGAGGTTCCCTAATATTTTGTGATACAAAATTGTATCTTAAACTTGGATAGATTGCCAAAAATTCATGCCAAATAGTTAAGGCTAGAGATTTTTAATTTTGAGATGATTTAATAAATGTAGTTATTTTAACATAATGGGGTTTTGCTCCTTTAAAGTTGAAGGAATCCACATCTCAGCCTGAAGAAAAGTGAATGGACATTGTGAAACATCAGGCACTGCACCAAATGCTGGCCGTGCCCCAGTCATCAGGGAAGTCGACTAAACGAGTAATCAAGGGCCTTGACCGCTGCAGGGTGAGTTCAGGATGGGATGGAAGCATAGTAGCAGGCCTCACCAAGTCTGGAGACACAGAAAGGTTTAGTTGAGCAGGGACAGGAAATAAACCTGAAGGATGAGCAGGTGAGGGAGGGTGCAAAAGGAATGAAGTGGTAGGCAGGAGGGACAACAAGACGAGGGTGTTTCAGTCCAGCATTGCTGGAGGGTGGGATGCAGGGGTCATTGTGGGGCAAGATGAGAGTGTGCAGCTAGGCAAGGGCGAGGTTATGAAGCAATGTTTGTATCCTTGAAAGGAGTTTTGCCTTTATTTTATGAGGAATGAGAATCTCCCAGACCATTCATCAAAAGAGAGATGATCCTGGGGCTGACTTCATGATGCAGAGGGTTAAGCTGCCACTTGCAATGCTGGCATCTCATATCTGAGTGCTGGATCAAGACTCTATTTCTTCATTTGCAATCCTGCTTCCTGCTAATGTGCCTGGGAGTCAGCAGATGATGATTCAAGTACTTGGGCCGCTGCCACCCATGTGGGAGACCCAGCTGTAGTCCCAGGCCCCAAGCTTTTGGCTGACCCACTCCCAGTCATTGCAGCCATTTGGAGAATAAACCAGCAGATGGAAGATTTCTCTCTCTCTCTCTCTCTCTCTCTCTCTCTCTCTCTTTCTCTCTCTCTCTGCCTTTCAAATAAAATAAATTATCTTAAAAAGAGAGATGGGCCAGTGCCGTGGCTCAATAGGCTAATCCTCCGCCTGTGGCGCCGGCACACTGGATTCTAGTCCCAGTTGTTCCTCTTCCAGTCCAGCTCTCTGCTGTGGCCCGGAAGGGCAGTGGAGGATGGCCCAAGTGCTTGGGCCCTGCACCTGCATGGGAGACCAGGAGAAGCACCTGGCTCCTGGCTTCGGATCAGCACAGTGCACAGGCCGCAGTGGCCCTTGGAGGGTGAACCAACGGCAAAAGAAGACCTTTCTCTCTGTCTGTCTCTCACTGTCCACTCTGCCTGTCCAAAAAAAAAAAAGGGGGGGGGGAGAGAGAGAGATGATAAGATTTTCATTTATGTTGCGGGAAATAAGCTGGACACACACACAAAAATACTGCATGTTCTCCCTTTTATGTAGAAGCTAAAATTTAAAAAGAAAAAAAAAAATAAAAATATAACCCAAAAAGAGAAATGCCTGTTTATCAGTATTGCTGCAAATACAGTTTTGCAAAACTTTGTTTTATATTTTTGTGAAACAACTGGTTAAGCTAATATAGTTTTAATGATCTGTGATTATTTTAAAATTCACTGGATATGGGGAAAATAGTCATCTTTTCATTTGATTCTTGTTTATAGCCATTGCCTACATGCCTGCTGAGCTAGGGTCTTTTCACTGTATTCGCTGGATCATTAGGCCTTTGACTATGATGTAATTTTAAAATACAATATCTCAAAAAATAAAGACAGATAGCAAGGTAGAGAAACAGAGAGGGCAGAAGAGAAATGTTATATTCTTAGAACTGTATGTATGAACTGTATTGAATCTTTCCTCTTTGTTTTAATAACACATTAACATTAGAATTGATGATAATTGTGTTGTAGTAATTTACATGCATTTGCTGTGGCCCTAACAATCTATTAATAAAGCCCTCTAAAATGAAAATAAATAAAAAATTTAAAAATCCATAGGAAAAATGTTTTATCTTAGAATGCCACAATGTGAATGAAGCATCTTTAAGGAGAAGGGTATTAAGGCAGAAGACGAGAAGAGCAGAGAGGATTTTTTAATAGTCCAAGTAAGGTAAGATCTGTTTGGTCTAAGATTGTGGTGTTGGGTTGAGGAGTCAATGAATCAGAGTGAGATGAAGTATGAAATCTATGACAGCTATATTGCAACTGATGGTGAGAGAAGGAATGAATGAGATAAAGCTCACATATTTCTGATCCTAGATTCCTCTCACTGAAACATGAGAGAGTGGAGGAGGAGGTTGGGAGAGGGAAATGTTGAGATCATGAGTCATTTGGGATCTCTTGAGCTTATGGTGCCCATGAGCCATCCATAGAAAATAATGGGATAGAGTTCTCTGTGTCAGAAAGATGTCTGCACCTGATATTTAAATAGTAATCTAAGACACTGAGTAGAAGGATTTTTCTTGGGAGTATTCATACAATTAAAAGAAAAAAAGGCTTGATGAACATTAACAAGTAAGAAAGTGACATGGGGCTGGCACCGTGGCACAGTGGGTTAATATTCTGATTGCAGCACCAGTATCCCATGCAGGCGCCAGTTCTAGTCCCAGTTGCTCATCTTTCAATCTGGCTCTCTGCTATGACCTGGGAAGGCAGTAGGGGATGGCCCAAGTGCTTGGGCCGCTGCATCCATGTGGGAGACCCAGAACAGGCTCCTGGATCCTGGATCCTGGTGTCAGATCAGGCGCAGCCCTGGCTGTTGTGGCCATTTGGGAGTGAACCATGGTGGAAGCCCCTACACTCTGTCTCTCCCTCTCTCTGTAATTCTACTTCTCAAATAAATAAATAAAATCTTTAAGAAAAAAAAAAGTGACAGAACAGTAGCCAATTAAAGTTACTGAGGACAACCAACCAGGAAGATAAAAGTAATGTATTTTTTGCCTCAGAAGAAAATAGAAAAGAATGTTTTAGAAAAGATAGAATGTTGTAACATGTTAATGAGAAGTAAAGAAAGTCACAATTACAAGCCTATTTTTTACATGTAAGATTATTATTAGGAGTTAATATTTAATATGTGCTGGACAATTTGCAGATTCCACATAGTTCATAGATACAACTCTATAAGGATATAATCTGATTATAAAACATTGGAGTGTAGCGATTATGTTCATTGTGATGATGGTGAAAAAATAATTTTTTTCAGAATACTTAACAGTCAGCGTACCATAGAAACAATCAATCAAACTTCAACTTTTGAAGATATAATTTGTGAGATATACCAATGAGGACAGAATCCTACTCTGAAAAAAGCAAACAGGTAACTGACGGATGGAAAGTACTCTCACAAAGATCTTAGTCCGAGGGTAACCTCATACAAGCTTCAATGAAAAAAACGAATTTGAGTTTTCAAGCACATAGCAGATGCCAGAAAAGGTTATAGGTATCTATGTTGTCCAATGTTTGTGAGCAGAAGGTAAAGTGTCTGGTTGCCTTTTTTTAACTTTTATTTAGTAAATATAAATTTCCAAAGTATAGTTTATGGATTACAATGGCTCCGCCCCCAACTTCCCTACCACTCGCACCCCTCCCATCTCCCGTTCCCTCTCCCATTCCATTCACATCAAGATTCATTTTCAATTATCTGTATATACAGAAGATCAATTTAGTATATATTAAGTAAAGATTTCTTCAGTTTGCACCCACACAGAAACACAAAGTGTAAAATACTGTTTCAGTACTAGTTATAGCATTACTTCACATTGGACAACACAATAAGGACAGATCCCACATGAGGAGTAAGTACACAGTGACTCCTGTTGTTGACTTAACTATTTGACACTCTTGTTTATGGCGTCAGTAATCTCCCTAGGCTCTAGTCATGAGTTGCCAAGGCTATGGTTGCTTCTTAGCTTTTTTTTTCAATTGTCATGTTAATGTAATGTTAATGCAAACAGAACAGATTCCACATAGCTCATAGATACAACTCTATAAGGATATAATCTGATTATAAAACATTGCAGTGTAGAGATTATGTTCATTGTGATGATGGTGAAAAAAATAATTTTTTTCAGAACACTTAACAGTCGGCGTACCATAGAAACAATCAATCAAACTTCAACTTTTGATGGACACTACTGCTTCTGCCTAAGGGCTCTAGCAACAGAACATGACTGGAAAGAACCAAACCACTGTCTCAGAGTTCCTCCTCCTAGGCCTGCCCATCCAGCCACAGCACAAAAACCTCTTCTACGTCCTGTTCCTGGCCATGTACCTGACCACAGTCATAGGGAACCTCCTCATCATTGTCCTCATTCACCTGGACTCTCATCTCCACACGCCCATGTATTTGTTTCTCAGCAACTTGTCCCTCTCTGACCTCTGCTTCTCCTCTGTCACAATGCCCAAATTGCTGCAGATCATGCAGAGCCAAGTCCCATCCATCCCTTATGCAGGATGTCTGGCCCAAATGTACTTCTACCTATTTTTTGCAGACCTGGAGAGCTTCCTCCTTGTGGCCATGGCCTACGACCGCTATGTGGCCATCTGCTTCCCCCTGCACTACACCAGCATCATGAGCCCCAAGCTCTGATTCTGCCTGGCGGCGCTGTCCTGGGTGCTGACCACGTTCCATGCCCTGCTGCACACCCTGCTCATGGCCAGGCTGTCTTTCTGTGCAGATAATGTGATCTCACACTTTTTCTGTGACATATCTGTTCTGCTGAAGTTGGCCTGCTCTGACACCCATGTCAATGAGTTGGTGATATTTGTCATGGGTGGACTTGTTATTGTCATCCCCTTCCTACTCATTATTACATCCTATGCAAGGATTGTGTTGTCTATCATCAAGGTTCCTTCTGCACGGGGCATCCGTAAGGCCTTCTCCACCTGTGGTTCCCACCTGTCCGTGGTGTCGCTGTTCTTTGGCACAATTATTGGTCTCTACCTAATCCCATCAGCCAATAATTCTACTGTGAAAGAGACTGTCATGGCTATGATGTATACTGTGGTGACTCCCATGCTGAACCCCTTCATCTACAGCCTGAGGAACAGAGACATGAAGGGAGCCTTGGGCAGAGTCATTTGTAAAAAGAAAATCCTCTTCTGCCTATGATGGCAGAACTAAAATTTTTACATAATTTATCTCATACATATATACAGATACTAATATTGGAATACTATTCCAGACTCTTTACGTGAATTTCTGTCAAAATGGCACACCACATAATCATTTAATATTAAGAAAGAAAATGTAGCTGAGCAATTTAACTAAGGGAGAGGATCTTCATGACCTGGCTGTCTCTTCCTCTTTATCTTCCTCACCTGGAAAAGCATAGTTTAAAAACTACTGGTTTGCTGGGTTGTGATATAGCAGATTAAGCCAACAACCTGCAGTGCCGGCATCCCATTTGGGCACCAGCTTGAGTCCTGGTTGCTCCACTTCTGATCCAGCTCCCGGCTAATGTGCCTGAGAAAGCAGTGGAGGAGAGCCCAAATGCAGAGCCCACGGGGGCATCCACATGAGACATCCAGAAGCTGCTCATGGCTCCTGGCTTCAGCCTGGCCCAGTGCTGGCTGTTTCAGCCATTTGGGGAGTGAACAAGTGGATGGAAGATCTCTCTGCCTGCCTGCCTGCCTGCCTGCCTGCCTCTCTCTCTCTCTAGCTCTGCCTTTCAAATAAAATAAATCTTTTTTTTAAGAATTACTGTTTTAAATCATCTGCATGTCTTACATTCTTAAATTGTTATAGGACTTTTCTTATTTTATCCAGAACACCTCTTTGTTTGTGGCAGTTCTAAGTAGTTCCATATATTCTTTGCTCAGTACTAAATTAGATCAAGTGTGTTAATTATCCCAACCAACCACTAAATGTCTCCTATAAATACCCCCCAAAAGAAAATTTCACAACATTGTATCACTTAAGTACCCTCTACCCCTCCAGATTTATTTTCACATTTACAAAGACTTTCTTGGCCTGGCATGATGTTCAATATATTTTTTCTAATCCTTTACAACAATGGTGTAGTTTGGGTTTATTTAGAATTAACTAACAGCACAAGAAGATTTAAAATTTTCTCTAGTAATGAGAAAAAAGCTAGAGCTGGTACAAATAAGTTCACTTTTTAAGGATGTCTCTCTTCTATTTGATATTTTGACTTTCACAAAATAACTGTTTTTATTCCACCCTCATGACAACTTCAAGGATATTCAGAAGCTACTATCAAGGTAAAATATGCAAAATATGGAGGAGTTCAATGACTGCCCAATCAGTGTGTCAGTTGCTGAGCCTATATAATATCACAAACTATCTGACTCCAGTTTCTTTTCATTCTTTTCCAGTTCAGAAGGAAGATGGGCAACCATTCTTTTTTCAAACAGCTCCATGTATGGCAAAAGTTCCAACCTTAACTTTTTTCCTTTGTCCCACAAGTGAGGGCCTCCAAAGCCATCACCTTCATCCTCTTGTATGTTTTCCTGACCTCCACATCTTGATCTGAAGCCCAGACCTTTCTCCTGAGCTCCCAACTGCCATTTTCATCTGACTAGTGCATATCTCCACTTGAGTTTCCACGGGCAGTTCAATCACATCATGCTCAACATTCAGCTCTTTATGTCCCGTCAAGTGTCCTTAATCCTACATCCTGATTTCTGATGTCACCTTCTACAGGCTTCCTTGATCAACCACTTCTTTACATTTGATTTCATATTTCTTGAAATAATGTACTTTCTATATGGTTGTTAAGGTAACATCAGTTCTGGGGCCGGCGCCGCGGTGTAGTAGGTTAAATCCCTGCCTGCGGTGCTGGCATCTCATTTAGGCACTGGTTCATGTCCTGGATGCTCCTCTTCTAATCCTGCTCTCTGCTTATGGCCTGGGAAAGAAGTGCTTATGCCTCTGCATCCATGCGGGAGACTCAGAAGAAGTCGCTGGCTCCTGCCTTTAGACTGGCTCAGCTCCGGTCATTGCAGCCATTTGGGGAGTGAACCAGGGGATGAAAGACCCCTCTGTCTGTCTCTCCCTCTCTCTGTAACTCTGTCTTTCAAATAAATAAGTAAATTTTTTTTTTAAAAAAAGGTAATGTTGCCAGTGCCGCAGCTCACTAGGCTAATCCTCCGCCTTGCAGCGCCAGCACACCAGGTTCTAGTCCCAGTCGGGGCGCTGGATTCTGTCCCGGTTGCTTCTCTTCCAGTCCAGCTCTCTGCTGTGGCCAGGGAGTGCAGTGGAGGATGGCCCAAGTACTTGGGCCCTGCACCCCATGGGAGACCAGGATAAGCACCTGGCTCCTGCCATCGGATCAGCGCGGTGTGCCGGCCGCAGCGCGCCGGCCGCGGTGGCCATTGGAGGGTGAACCAACAGCAAAAAGGAAAACCTTTCTCTCTGTCTCTCTCTCACTGTCCACTCTGCCTGTCAAAAAAAAAAAAAAGGTAATGTCAGTTCTTATAATGGATAAACTCTGGGGGCTGGTGCTGTGGCACAGTGGGTTAATGCCCTGGCCTGAAGCGCTGGCATCCCAAATGAGCGCCGGTTCAAGACCCGGCTGCTCCACTTCCGATCCAGCTCTCTGCTATGGCCTGGGAAAGCAGTAGAAGATGGCCCAAGTCCTTGGGCCCCTGCACCCGCGTGGGAGACTGGGGGAGGCTCCTGGCTCCTGGCTTTGGATCGGCTCAGCTCTGGCTGTTACAGCCAACTGGGGAGTGAACCATCAGATGGAAGACCTCTCTCTCTCTCTCTGCCTCTCTTCTCTCTCTGTGTAACTTTGACTTTCAAATAAATAAAGAAATCTTTAAAAAATAATGAATAAACTCTGAAATCTCAGTGGCACAATACAAAAGAATTATCAGTTACAAGATAAAATATTAGCCTTTAAATTAGTTTCCTCTATACCAGAAATACAATGGAAAAAAACCTCAACACTGAAAAAACGAGCCTGTTCTCAAGGCCAATTAGATTAGATACAAGAAGGGTTAGTGCTGTGATGCAGCAGGTTAAAGCCCTGGTCTGCAGTGCTGGCATCCCATATGGGCACTGCTTTCGATCCCAGCTTCTCCACTTCTAATCCAGCTCCCTACTAATGTGTCTGAGAAAGCAGTGGAGGATGGTCCAAGTCTTTGGGCCCCTGCACCCATGTGGGAGACCTGGAAGAAGCTCCTGGCTCCTGGCTTCAGATTGGCTCAGCTCCAGTCATGCCATTTGGGGGGGTGAACTAGCAGATGGAAGACCTCTCTCTGTCTCTGTCTCTACCTCCCTCTGTACTGTAACAAATTCTTTACTGAGATACATACAAGAATACCACAATGAAAGGAGATATATAATGGCCATGGAAAGGGTGCCTTTTTTTTTTTTTTTTGACAGGCAGAGTAGACAGTGAGAGACAGAGAGAAAGGTCTTCCTTTTCCGTTGGTTCACTGCCCCTCCACCACCAATGGCTGCTGTGGCCGGCGCCACGCTGCAGCCAGTGCACCACGCTGATCCAAAACCAGGAGCCAGATGCTTCTCCTGGTCTCCCATGCGGGTGCAGGGCCCAAGGACCTGGGCCATCCTCCACTGCACTCCCAGGCCATAGCAGAGAGCTGGACTGGAAGAGGAGCAACTGGGACAGAATCCAGTGCCCTGACCGGGGCTAGAACCCGGGGTGCCGGCGCCTCAGGTGGAGGATTAGCCTATTGAGCCGCAGCGCCAGCCAGGGTGCCTCCTTTTAAACAGATTTTTTGAAGATTAGCCTTGACATAGTAAAATCAGTTTAAAAGTATATAATTTGATGAGTTTTGAAGCTGTAATATTTTAACATCAATTCACATCAAATATATCCAATGAAACCCGAGTCCAATTCCCTATGGAACTGTTTCTGTGCAAACTGACAAGCTGATTCTTAAGTTAAAAGAAAAATGGGTAAAATTTCTAAGAATTATTTGAAAAATAGAACCTGAAAGTTTATTCTTGGTCTGTAAAATATCAATATGTATTTGAAAAAAATCAATATATAGTTGAAATAGTATAATTTATTCAGGAACTGACAAAAATCAAATACAGCGAGAAAAATGTAAAGAAATAGTCCTGTGTCTGTGAGGATCTATTTTATGATGAATACAGCATTTCAATCAATGGAGGAAAGAATATACTACTCAAAAATGACACTGAGAAAAATTGGACGTGGAAAAATAGTAAATGAATTCCTTACACTACATGTAAACATAACTTTTTATAAAGATTTATTTCATTTATTTGAAAGAGTTACAGAGAGAGGTAGAGACAGAGAGAGAGGTCTTCCATCCACTGATTCACTCCCTAGACGGCCTCAACAGCCAAAGCTGTGCCAATCTGAAGCCAGGAGCCAGGAGCTTCTTTTGGGTCTCCCACGCGGATGCAGGGGCCCAAGGACTTGGGCCATCTTCTGCTTTCCCAGAAGATAGAGGAGCATCCGGGACTAGAATCGGCACCCATATGAGATGCCGGCACTTCAGGCCAGGGTTTTAACCTGCTGCACCGCAGCGCCGGCCCCAGTAACTTTAATAGCTTCAAAAGCTAAACGGAAACTACAAATATAAAAATAATATAAAATAATTTATGAGGAGGCTTCAAAAGTTTCATGGAAAATGGGATTAAAATATGATACAAATTTTCAATGAGCTTTTTGAAGCCCCCTCATATATCACACAAAACTCAGGAACTATGTTTAAAAAGTCTGACATATTTGAAACTTATCTGGACAAAAGATAACATAAATGAATCTGAAAGAGACATAACAGAGTATAGTCTAACAGACACAAGATTAAAATTCAGAACATATTAAAGGCCCCCACCAAAATACAGACAGAATAAGCTCTAGAGTTCTATAATACAGTGGGGTGATTATAATTCATAATAATGGGTCCTATGCTATATATATATATATATGTGTGTGTGTGTGTGTGTGTGTGTGTGTGTGTTGAGAGATTGGATTATATCCCATAAAAATGTACACACAGGGGCCAATGCTATGGTTTAGTGGGTAAAGCCACCACCTATAGTACCAGCATCCTATATGAGCACCAGTTCAAGTCCTGGCTGCTCCACTTCTCATCCAGCTCCCTGCTGATGCACCTGGAAAAGCATTGGAGGATGGCCCAAGTGCTTGGGCCCCTGTACCTGCATGGGTGACCCAGAAGAAGCTCCTGGCTCCTGGCTCCTGGCTTCAGCTTGGTACAGTTCCGGCTGCTGCGGCCAATTGAGGAGTGAACCAGCATATGGAAGACCTCTCTCTCTCTCTCTGCCTCTCCTCTCTCTGTGTAACTCTTTCAAATAAATAAATAAATCTTTTAAAAAATACCTATATTATATGTTAATCAAAAATGTTTAAAGATGGAAACCTGTTGGAGTGAGGTGGACACTATGGGAAATGGTGGCTTGATCAGCATAGCCCTGACTGTTAATGAACAACTAAATACATTATCCCTCTTAGTAGTTTTTTTTGTCTGTTCTACTTAATATGACTGGTTTAGATCTGTAATTGATGCACAGTTATTCTTAAGTGTTGAAAATTAACTGAAATGTGATCCCTGTTGAACATGGTGGTGGGAATGGGAGAGGGAAGAGATGTATAATTTGGGACATGCTCAGGCTGACTTGCCCCAAGTGGTGGAGTTGGAAGCATACCAGGGGATTCCAATTCAATCCCATCGAGGTGGCATGTACCAATGCCATCTCACTGTTCCAGGTGATCAGTTTCAGTTCACAGTTGGTCATGGTGAAGGGACTGGGAGTCAAAGGGAGCACATAGACAAGTCTAGTACCTGCTAACGCTAACTGATGGAGTAAATAAAGGGGAGAGTGATCCAACATGGGAAGTGAGAATCTCTGCAGACTCATAGAATGGCAGATGTCCTAAATAGCACTCTGGCCTCAGAATCAGCCCTAAAGGCATTCGGAGCTGGCTGAAAAGCTCATGAGAGTATTTCAGGCATGGAAAGCCAAGACACTCTGGCAAAAGATCTCTGCGAGTGAGATCCCAGTGGAAAGAACAGGCCATCAAAGAAGGAGGTACCTTTCTCTGAAGGGAGGAGAGAACCTCCACTTTGACTATGAGCTTGTCTAAACAAGATAAGAATCGGAGAACTCAGAGGGCTTCCATAGCCTTGGAAACTCATGACTGGAGCATAGGGAGATTACTGATGCCATAGACAGGTGTGTCAATTGGTAAAGTCAACAACAGGAGTCACTGTGCACTTACTCCTCATGTAGGATCTCTATCCTTAATGTGCTGTACATTGAGATTTAATGCTATAACGAGTACTCAAACAATATATTTCACTTTGTGTTTCTATGGGGGTGCAAACTGTTGAAATCCTTACTTAATGCATACTAAACTGATCCTCTGTAAAAAAAAAAAAAAAAAAAAAAAAAAAAAAAAAAAAAAAAAAAAAGAAATTATCAATTCCCAACTTGACTCTCACTGGGATTAAACATGACAATAGGTCTGCTCTGATTTCATCATCATTTTAAAAAATCATCTATTATTTTTCACTTTATGTTTCTGTGTGGGAGCAAACTGTTGAAATCCATACTTAATGTATACTAAGCTGATCTTCTGTATATTAAGATAATCGAAAATGAATCTTGATGTGAATGGAAGGGGAGGGGGAGTGGGAAAGGGGAGGGTTGTGGGTGGGAGGGACGGTATGGGGGGAAAGCCATTGTAATCCATAAGTCGTACTTTGGAAATTTATATTCATTAAATAAAAGTTTAAAAAAAAATAACTGTAACTCTGTTTTTCAAATAAATAAAACAAATCTTTTTGAAAAAAAAATGTTTAAAGATGAAATACTAAGATTATAAAACAGGGGCTGGCGCCTTGGCTCACTTGGTTAAACCTCTGCCTGCGGTGCCAGCATCCCATGTGGGCGCTGGGTTCTAGTCCTGGTTGCTCCTCTTCCAGTCCAGCTCTCTGCTGTGGGAGGGCAGTGGAGGATGGCCCAAGTGCTTGGGCCCCTGCACCTGCATGGGAGACCAGGAGGAGGCTCCTGGCTTCGGATAGGTGTGGCGCCATCCGTAGCGGCCATTTGGGGAGTGAACCAATGGAATGAAGACCTTTCTCTCTGTCTCCCTCTCTTTCACTGTCTGTAACTCTACTTGTCAAATAAATAAGTAAATAAACAAAATTTTTTAAAAAAGAATAAAACAAATAGAACAGAAAGTATAAAAAGAATACTAGCAGAGAACTCATAAAGAATAAATGACAGGAAAATATGTTCAGCTTCAATGCCAACTAGGAACAAGCAAACTGAAAAATAGTAAGTGTTCATTGAATGATCATATAATTGGCAAGTTTACAAATAGTTGACCTTCTCCACTAACAGCAAGGACTAGGGACTACATTTTAAAATTTTCTTGAAATATAATTTACATACAAGCAAATACACTCATTTTAAGGTCAGTTCAATGAGTTTTAAAATAAAATAAACTTATAACCCACTCAAAATCTGGAAAAATTCCATCACCTCGCAATTTAGTATGAAAATTTACAGGCCAGCGCCACAGCTCAATAGGCTAATCCTCTGCCTGTGGTGCCAGCACACTGGGTTCTAGTCCCAGTCGGGGTGCCAGATTCTGTGCCAGTTGCTCCTCTTCCAGTCCAGCTCTCTGCTGTGGCCTGGGAGTTCAGTGGAGGATGGCCCAAATGCTTGGGCCATGCACCTGCATGGGAGACGAGGAGAAGCACCTGGCTCCTGGTTTCGGATCAGCGTGGTGCACACGCCGCAGTGCGCCAGACGCAGCAGCCACTGGAGGGTGAACCAACGGAAACAGGAAGACCTTTCTCTCTTTCCCTCTCTCTCACTGTCCACTCTGCCTGTCAAAAAAAAAAAAAAAAAAAAAGAGAGAGAGAGAGAGAGAAAGAAAAAAAAAAGAAAATTTACAATCAAGATTTCATCTCCTGTCACTAAGCTGATTTTTTCCTATTTGAATTCTATCACTGCAGATCAGAATTTTCTGTTTGAATTGTTTTTAGAGTCATTGTTAGGTTACACAAATTAAAAAAAAAAAAAACCAGTGGCAAGCATAGGGCTCTCACTCACTCCTTCCATTCCAGTTATCCTCGATATTAACACCTTGCCTGAGGGTGGGACATTTGTACAAATTATGATCCAGTGCTGACACCTTATTAATTAAAGTCTACAGTTTCCTAAAGGAAACTACGTTTTGTAGATTTGAACGGATGTATAATGATTTGTATTCACCAATTCAGTATCAAAAAGAATAGCTTCACCTCCTAAAAATCCTCCATGGCTTTTAAAGAACTTAGTCTGATTTTTCCAAAGGAGGAAAATTTACTCCCCTACCCTGAAATCCCCTTGGAATTGATATCCTATTTAAAATATAACTTGTTAATGACCTCCTTTTAAATTGTGCAGTATCCAGGTTTTACAGTCTTAAATATGTTTAACTCATCTATGCTCATTTAATTACAATCCAAGTTGCAAATTCAAAAACCTAAAATAGGCACTCGTGAGCATAAAATTCCATTTAGTAACAAGTTAATGTTCAGCCTTTAAAATGATAATATTTCCTTTCCTTCAAAGGATTTCACAAAAATAGAGTAACATCAAAAATGTAAAGTTTATTGATAACTTGCAAAATAGTGAGAAGAGGAAAGAAATACTTAACGAGTGAAGTATCAACTAATATATAGTTATAAATATTATTTCACTGAATCATGATGTAAATGACAATATACCATTTTTTCTCATTGCAATGATGATTGTCATGAATCTTCACTTTGCAATATTAATCTGTTTTCAAGAAAAATAAAATGAAATGAAAAAAAAAAAACCTAACTCTGGCTCCCTCCCCAAGCTTGAGAGAACAACATTTAGGGCCCCAGGGATGACTTGAGTTCTTGAGTAAATACAAACCAAACTATTCTAACAAAACAGGATGAAAGCTCATTCTAGATTCAGGTCCATTAAAAAGGACAATGCAGAGGCAGGCACTGAGGCATAGTAGGCTAAACCTCTGCCTGTAGTGCCAGCATCCCACATGGGTGACAGTTCATGTCCTGGCTGCTCCACTTCCCATCCAGCTCCCTGCTGTGGCCTGGGAAAGCAGTAGAAGTTGGCCCAAGTGCTTGGGCCCCGCACCTGCATGGGAGACTCAGACGAAGGTCCTAGCTCCTGATTTCAGATCCGCCCAGCTCCAGCCTATGAGGCATCTAGGGAGTGAATCAGGGGATGGGAGACCTTTCTCTCTGCTGCTCAAATAAATAATTTTTTTTAAAAAAAGCACAATGCAGAGAGGAAAACACAAGATAAATTAAAAAGGTTAAGAGACAGAATGATGTGAGTGCTTTATAGAGAGATAAGTAAAAAAAATTTTTTGAACAACAAATCCAGTTTAGAAGTAGCAGGAGACTGAGGTGTTTGGGTCTTAGTCCTTGTTGACGTGGGAGGAGGCAGTATCATTTAAATTGCAGTTATTGTTTTAAAAACATAGATGATAAGTAAGTGGTTTAATAACTTGAGACCAAAGTTTCTATTAAAATATCATAAAATACGCCTCTTCAAGGTGACCTGAAATTCACAAAGAGAAAAACTTTCCTAGCTGGTCACTGAGAACCCATTCCTGTGTTCAACTACACACTTCTCCTTTCTTACTTACTGAACAATTACATAGTGTTTCATTTAAACAGTTTCAAAAATAAGTCTGTATTAATATTTAAATATCAATAGATAAAATTATGTAATAATCCCAATCATCATGGGCAGAAGATGATTTTCTTTTACAAATGACTCTGCCCAGGGCTCCCTTCATGTCTTGGTTCCTCAGGCTGTAGATGAAGGGGTTCAGCATGGGAGTCACCACAGTGTACATCATAACCATGACAGTCTCCTTCACAGTAGAATTATTGGCTGATGGGATTAGGTAGAGACCAATAACTGTCCCATAGAACAACGACACCACAGACAGGTGGGAGCCACAGGTGGAGAAGGCCTTACGGATGCCCCGTGCAGAAGGAACCTTGATGATGGAAGACACAATCCTTGCATAGGATGTGATAATGAGTAGGAAAGGGATGACGAGAATGATGCCTCCCATGACAAATATCACCAACTCATTGACATGGGTGTCAGAGCAGGCCAACTTCAGAAGAGCAGACATATCACAGAAAAAGTGGGGGATCACATTATCTGCACAGAAAGACAGCCTGGCCATGAGCAGGGTGTGCAGCAGGGCATGGAACGTGGTCAGCACCCAGGACAGCACCACCAGGCAGAAGCAGAGCTTGGGGCTCATGATGCTGGTGTAGTGCAGGGGGAAGCAGATGGCCACATAGCGGTCGTAGGCCATGGCCACAAGGAGGAAGCTCTCCAGGTCTGCAAAAAAACAGGAAGAAGTACATTTGGGCCAGGCATCCTGCATAAGGGATGGATGGGACTTGGCTCTGCATGATCTGCAGCAATTTGGGCATTGTGACAGAGGAGAAGCAGAGGTCAGAGAGGGACAAGTTGCTGAGAAACAAATACATGGGCGTGTGGAGATGAGAGTCCAGGTGAATGAGGACAATGATGAGGAGGTTCCCTATGACTGTGGTCAGGTACATGGCCAGGAACAGGATGTAGAAGAGGTTTTTGTGCTGTGGCTGGATGGGCAGGCCCAGGAGGAGGAACTCTGACACAGTGGTTTGGTTCTTTCATGTCATGTTGTGTGGCTAGTACCTTTAGGAAGAAATAACAGTGTCCCCTAAAGCTTGAATTTAAAAATCAACATATTTCTATGATACATTATTTATTAAATGTTCTGTCAAAATACTTCCTTTCACTCACATCACAATATCGATGTCTTTACTCTTGATGTATGCAATTACAATCCATAGACATAAATGCCTTATTTCTTCATTTCTTTTTACATGTTACAGTATTCCTTTGTTTCTCAAACATTATTATCTATTTGTTCCTGAGACACAAATTTATTAGTTTACTTTCTGACCACTTGAAAACTATGATTGGCTCCTACTCTGTCTGTTTCTTACCTGTTAATTTTCCTCAAGGTTTTCTAAATATCATTTTCTTTCAACTTTATGTATACCTACAAGCAGAACCATGCCCTCCACTGTATTAGCTTACCATTTAAACACTAGTGTAGATATCTATCTAACCCACAGAACTCTGTATCCCACCGCTCCATGATTATCTTCCTGTGGAGGGATCACAGGCATCTTAAGCTCAACAGATCCCAAATGAAACTCAAGTCTTACCTAGTCCCTCTCCCAAACTTCTCCTTCTCCATTCTCACAATCAGTGAAAGGAATCCAGTATCAAATCAAAACTCTGTGAGTTTTATTTCATTCATTTCTCCTCTCATCATCAACTCCAATCTAACATAGCCTATAGATTCTACACTTAGCTCTCTGATCATCCACTCTGTATCCAAACACACGATCCTAGGCCAGGCCGACATCTTAACTGAAATGGATGGTTAAAACAGCTGCTCAATTCATCTCCCTGTTTCTCTGCTTCAGGGCTTTTCTCCTTCAACAATCTTTTTCTCCCATTGTGGTGTTCTTACATCTTTCTCCTGACTAAGTATTTCAGAGGATTCTCATTGCTCTTAAGATAACAGCAAAGTTCCTTTCACGGGCAGGAGTGGTGCTCTAGGACCTGACTCTTGCCGACCTCCACACTATCATCTGACCCCACTCTCCAGCAGTGATGGACTTAAAAGTGATCATTTCTTGCCTCCAGCATTTTGCACCTGCTGTTCCTCCTAACTAGCATCTATTCCCTCTGCTCCCTTTCTACCTGATTTACCCCCAGTTATTCTTCTATGTAGATGACATTTACTCAGCTAAACCTTTCATGTCTCACCAGACTTCTTAAGATTTGCTCCTATGTTACCACTGTTCCCAGTACTCATCCCATAGCACTCACGTCCTAGATCACTAGTTTAATCTGACTTCCCCCCAGACTGCAAGCTCCGTGTAGGAAGGCCATGCCATGCCTGCAGTAGAGCTGGCAGCTGGCATGGTACCCAGATAGGACCTATGTTTCATTACTTACTTATATCATTTTCCTTCAAGTTGAGACATACTTATGAATTCCTCAGTCTTCAAAGGCTACAAACTCTCATTAAAGTTAGAATTAATAGTCCTACTAAATCCTCCAGAACTAAAACCAGATTTAAGCATTTGGGGCTAAATTTAGACTATTACTAGGTAGATGTAATTTTGTACCCACAGAAAACATGAGGGTACCTCAGTTATACCATTCATTTCACCAATGCAGATGACTCATTCTAAGCATCCTAATGTTTCTACTGCACACATCATTGGCATTGGCGTGGGAAAAAACAAATACAATTGTGGGCTCGGCATTGTGGTGCAGTGAGTTAAGGCACTGCCTGGGACTTCAGCATCCCAAATGGGAGCATCAGTTCAAGTCCCAGCTGCTCTGCTTTGATACAGCTCCTGCTACTGTGCCTTGGAAGGCAACAGGAGATGACCCAAGTGCTTGGGCCCTTGCCGCCCACATGGTAATGCCACATGGAGTTCTTGGCTCCTGGCTTTGACCTGACCCAGATCTGGCTGCTGTAGCCATTTAGGGAGTGAACCAGCATATATAAAATCTCTCTCTCTCTCTCTCTCTCTCTGTGTGTGTGTGTGTGTGTGTGAGAGAGAGACACTTTGCCTTTGAAATAAGTAAATAGTTTTTAAAATAAATATGGTAATTTTAGAAATTATTGGAGAAACAGAAAGATAAATGATCATTTCTACTCAAGCTCTAAACTGAGTTCTATCTAAGATGTCCAAAGCCCATTGTAATGGTTAATTTAATGTATCAATATGGGTAGGTCCTTGTACCTTGTTTTAGACAAATACCAGTCCAGATGTTACTATGAAGGTATTTTGAAACATGATAAACATTTAAATGAGCAGACTGAGTAAAGCATATTAGCATACATAATGTGGTGAGCCTCATAGAATACGTTGAAAGCCTAAGGAGAAAAAGCAGAGGTCCCTTGAAGAACAAAGAATTCTGCCTCCAGACTGCCTTTGGATGCAAGACTAAGGCTGTAACATCAACTTTTCCCTGGATTTCCAGCCTCCTGACCTGCCCTGCATATTCTAGACTTTGCAGTTCCAACAACTGCATGAGATAGAATTCCTGTGCATAAATCTCCCCCACTTGCTCTTGTTCTATCGTCTATTATCTATCTACCTACCTATCTCTATCTATCTATCAATCACCCATCTATATGATATGGTTCTGACTTCTGGAGAATGCTGACTTAAATACTGCCCTTTTTGTATCAAAGCTGACTGAGAAATCAGAGGAGGAGCATTAAGAGATGTTGGAATATCCTTCAATGAAAATATGTAACTGGTCTCACCTGCTGGGATCTTCATCCTCCTGACAGTCCTTAAGCTGCACTGACAGTTTTACAGTTGGACATTATGTTATGGAATTACACTGGGAAGAAACATTAGGGGAAATCATTCACCAGTTTTCTCAAAAGTAACTGAGTAAAGTAGTCAGACCCAACCTGGTGTCAAAAGTCTAACTAGGAATCACAGACCAGAGATATCCCTTGCAGGTGCTACCACTGATGGTGAAATTAGCTTCACTACCTTCCTCTCCTACACTGGACAAAAGAATAACCTAGGATAGAACTTCTAAAGTGTAATGTCTGTGAAAACCCACCAGGCATTCTGTAACAATGCTGATTCTCATTCTCTAGTTCAGATTGCAGATTTTTTTTATTTTTATTTTTATTTTTTTGACAGGCAGAGTGGACAGTGAGAGAGAGAGACAGAGAGAAAGGTCTTCCTTTGCCGTTGGTTCACCCTCCAATGGCCGCCGCGGCCGGCGCGCTGCGGCCGGCGCACCGTGCTGATCCGATGGCAGGAGCCAGGAGCCAGGTGCTTTTCCTGGTCTCCCATGGGGTGCAGGGCCCAAGCACTTGGGCCATCCTCCACTGCACTCCCTGGCCACAGCAGAGAGCTGGCCTGGAAGAGGGGCAACCGGGACAGAATCCGGCGCCCCGACCGGGACTAGAACCCGGTGTGCCGGCGCCGCTAGGCGGAGGATTAGCCTAGTGAGCCGATTGCAGATTTTAAGTGAAGACCCAGATGATGGCAATGCTGCGGTCCATGGACTGCACTTGAGGAGTAAGGTCATACATTGCCTTTAAATTACAATACTGCGTTTTCCCCAGAGCAGTTTAACTACAATTTCTGAATGGAAGTCTGTTCAATGTTTCTTAAAACTATAGATTATTTTTAAATAAAACAAGACTTAATAGCTACTGCATTGAAGCCTACCTCACAGAACCATCGTTGCACTGAAATGATGCAATCCTGTAAGAACACATTGCACAGGAAGTTTTACGTAGGATGCTATCTCTAAAACAGTGTAACTGGCCGACCTTAGTCAAAATACTTCCAGATTGCTGGGAAGTCTTGGCAGTCAGAGAAGTGGAGCAGAGGAAAGCTAATCATATCTAAAGAACTATCCAGCAGATCATACAACTCGGAAAACCAAAACCCACAGGTTGGATGGACACTAAGGCCCATTCCCCCTCCTGCCCAACTTACCCAGGCTGTTTGAGGGGGACTCCAGGGCCTGATCCATAATTCTACTCTACTTTATTCATTATGGGCATGTGATGTGACAGCCTCTGTGGTCACCACCAATGTCTGCACCATCCTCTTACATCTCTCGTTCCACTCATCTTAGGCCTAAGGGGACTTGCATCCTGGAGGAGTCCAGATCCAGGAGGAATTCATTAAAGACAAAGGAGCTGCCTGGGACCTCTCTGGGACAGATAGTCTGAGTCCTTCAGGGGAAACTGATTACAGCCACTGGTCGCACCTGACTACTTGGAAGAAGGTGGGGTGGGGAGAAACTTGTCATGGATGCTTGATCATTTCCTGTTTACACCTGGAGGCTAGTCCCGCGTGGCTGCAGCCTACATTTTATGGGTGAAGAAAAATGGTTGGAGAAGCCACAAAGTTAATCAGACTGAGAATGTTCTAAAATATCTCAAGAGTGTCAGAGTTTACACAAGAAGCTTTCAGTGGGCTTTAAGCCAAATACCACCCTGAAAGACACATACTTTGGAAAGATTTCCAGGAGGCAATCTCTCACTAAAACTCAATTCCCCAAAAACACAGCACAGGCGAGGTAAACCCGCCACTAACAGGAGTCAGACTTCTGTGGCCCAACCACATGCATATCTACAGAAAGGACAGAAATAAGAGAAAAGATGAACTCTCCAAGATCCCGCCCGATTCTTCATTAAGTCAAGACGGAAACACACACCCATTTTCCCAAGGGCCCTCTGCACGTCCCCTTCTCTCTGAGGAACTGGATTGTCTGCCTCTGGTGCACATAAGGCAGAATCTTCTTAACACAAGTGCGTGGATTGTTAATACCTCCATGAGTCTGAAAGGACCCCAGGTTCCTCTGCAGCTGTTTTCTAGCATTCGCCAGCCCCTGGATCTGGACTGATTGGAATATTTCATTTCCTCCCTGTGCCTCTGGCCCTCCCACCTCTCCTTCCTGCCTTCTACCACTCTTGGATGAATGGGTTTTGCAATTCTAGTGGTTGTGTTTTGTGCATTTGTTGTTGTTGTTTTTCTGTGAAACACATGCACTGGATGTGGGAGATAAAGGAAAACCTCAGTTGCTCCTGGTCACTCCC